GTGGAGTCGCCATGAGTCAGAAACGACTCGACGGAAGTGAGTTCGGTTTTTTTTTTTTCCCCCACTTAGTATGTAGCCCCATTGGCATGTTCCTTCTTGGTCAGAATGAAAACACTTTGCTGAGATATTTGCCAGGGAAATGTTCTGTGTGGCCTTCTGTGATCTGCCTGTTCCCCAAGTTCAGCAGAGATCTAAGGAGAGCACACTGTTTTACATCTGAATCTGAATCTCTGCTTTTTGTTCATAACACTTACTTACCCTACAGACAGCTAAGCTGCCCCAACGAGTTATTTTCTTCTAATTCTTTATTTAGTGCCAAATGCTACAGTAAATTCCTAAATTTTATAGTAAAATCCTAAATTTGAAGCATTTATGTTTAAAGACAAAGTACAAGCAAAAAAAAAAAAGAGAAGATGAATTGCAAAGAGAAGAAAAGTGAAAGACATTATCCGTCCTGGGCAGTAGGTGCAGGAGATAGATCTGGATGTAGAGCAGAGAGAAATGCAGCTTTGTTGCCAGAGTTGAATGCTTGTTTAACCCCGTGCTACAGAGCACGTAGTAGTAAGAGGGAAAAGTGATGGCTCTACTTTCAGCATTGGGTATGGCTTATCTTTTTAAAATCTGCTCAAGAGTCCTGAGTTACCATCCTCAGTTTTACAGATGAGGAAACAGGTATACAGATGTTGAGTAACTTCTCCAAAGCCTTCAGCAAGCAAGTGGTAGGGCTGAGTTTGAATCCACATGACTGAAACCCGAGTATTACCATATTTCTCAGTGAACTCTGGATAATGAAGTCATTTGGAAGAGGACATTATGCAGCATGATGCAGGAGGTCAACCATTTTCTTGGGTAAATCTTTAAGGGGAAAGAGGAAGCTTAGTAGATGGGAGTAATAAAAGAATTACTTGGTTAGGAAAGGAGAATAAATGACATTCCAAAGACAGATACGTTTATGTTTCCTAGAGAAAAGTGTGAATTCCTGTAGGCCTCTGGTTCTCAAAGGGCAGCTCAAAAAGAGAAAGTATTATGACGAAACATGCCAAGACCTGGAGTTAGAAGACCAAAAGGGAAGAAAGAACACACTCAGCATTTCTTAAGGTAAAAGAAATGAAGAAAAAACTCAAGCCTTGAGTTGCAATATTGAAGGATTCTATGGTCAAAATATTGAATGATGCAGGAATCATCAAAAGACAGAAGGAATACACAGTCACTGTATCAAAAAGAATTGGTACATGTGTAACTATTTCAGGAGGTAGCATATGATCAAGAACCAAAAGTATTTTAGAAAGAAGTCAAAGCTGCACTGAAGGAATCGGTGAGAAACAAGGCTCCAGGAATTGCTGGAATACCCATTGAGATATTTCAACAAATGGACGCAGCACTGGAGACACTTACTTGTCTATGGCAGGAAATTGGGAAGACAGCTACCTGGCCAGCTGACTGGAAGAGATCCATATTTGTACCTATTCCAAAGAAAGGTGATCCCACAGAATGGGGAAATTATCAAACAATATCATATGCAAGTATAATTTTGCTGAAGGTAATTAAAAAACAGTTGCAGCAATATATTGACAGGGAACTTCCAGAAATGCAAGCTGGATTCAGAAGTAAACATGGAACAAGGGCTATCATTGCTAATGTCTGTGGATTCTGACTGAAAGCAAAGAATATCAGAAAGATGTTTACCTGTGTTTTATTAACTAAACAAAGGCATTTGACTGTGTGGCATAACAAGTTATAGATAACATTGTGAAAAATGGGAATTCCAGATCACTTGATTGTGCTCAAGAGGAACCTGTACCCAGACTAAGAAGCTGTCATTGGAACAGAACAAGGGGGTACTGCATAGTTTAAAATCAGGAAGGGAGGGCGTCCAGGTTGTATCTTTCCACCACACTTAATCAATCTGTATTATGAGCACATAATCCAAGAAACTGGACTGTATGAAGAACATGACATCAGGACTGGAGGAAGACTCATTAATAGCCTGCAATATGCAGACGACACAATCTTGCTTGCTGAAAGTGAAGATGACTTGAAGCACTTACTGATGAAGATCAAAGACTACAGTCTTCAGTATGGATTCTATCTCAACATAAAATCCCCCCAACTGGACCAATAAGCAACATCATGATAAATGGAGAAAAGATTGAAGTTGTCAGGGATTTAATTTTACTTGGATCCACAATCAGCATCCATGGAAGAAGCACTCAACAAATCAGATGCTGTATTGCATTGGGCAAATCTGCTGCAAAAGACCTCTTTAAAGTGTTAAGAAGCAAAGATGTCACTTTGAAGACTGAGGTGTACCTCATCTAAGCCATAGTATTTTCAGTACCCTCACATGCATGTGAAAGCTGGACAATAAATAAAGAAGACCAAAGAAGGGTTGATGTCTTTGAACCGTGTTGTTGGTAAAGAATAATGAAAATACCATGGACTATTGGAAGGACCAACGCATCTGTCCTGGAAGAAGTGCAGGCTGAATGCTCTTTGGAAACAAGGATAGCCAGACTTCGTCTCACTGACTTTGGTCATGTTGTCAGAAGGGTCCAGTCCCTGGAGAAGGATACCATGCTGGGGAAAGTGGGGGTCAGTGAAAAAGGGGCAGACCCTCAGTGAGATGGACTGACCCAGGCACTGCAGCAGTGGGCTCAAGCGTAGAAGGACTTTGAAGGTGGCGCCGGCCTGGGCTGTGCTTCCTTCTGTTGCACAGCGGGTCGCTATGAGTTGGAGCCAACTCCACGGCACCTCACAACAACTGGTTCTCAAACTTCAGCACACTTTCCCAGAGCTTCTGGGCCAGAGGATGTGCATTTCTAACAAGCCCTCAGGTGCTACTGATGCTGCTGCTCTGGGACCTCCCTGGGAGAATCACTGTAGACATTTGGGAGAGGGTGGTCTGCAAGCTTAAGAGGGGTTGATACAGGTAGCGGCATTCATGGTGCTGGGGAGAATGGTGTAAAAGCAGAATTTAAAAAAAGTATGTGGCGATAGTTCAGTTCACATTTCAGAGTTGTGCAGGGTAAAGCACTACTGCTAAAAGAGGCTGGCATGGGCAAGGAAGGTGTAAAAACTTGGTAAAAATCTAGACGCCACCTGGTTTCAGGTACTGCTGGCATCAAGACCAGAGCCTGGCCTGGGATAATAGGTGCTCAGTAATTCTTCGTCGCATTAATGAATGGATAAACAGAAGCATGAACTAAGAATTCCATACATTAAAGCCACTCAGCATTTGCTATGTCTACTCCCATTTCTCTGAGTCTGTCACATACAGACTTTTTTTTTTTTTTAATCTATCTTTTTGGTAAAGATGGTTTTTTTGGGGAAAAAAATCTAGAATATACAATATACTGTTAATTTCCTTCTACTCGTGTCCCTTTCTCCCATTTTCTTTTCTTAGAGAGCAGTCAAGGACACTAGTGTCTTATATATTCTTCCAAGATAGTCTCTGTGTGTGTATGTGTGTGTGTGTATTTTTAACAACACAAAAGTAGCATAGCATACTATACCACTGTTTAATACCTTACTATTTTCAATCTAACATTATATTTTGTTGATCATTTCATACAGGTTACATTACATAGAAGGCTGACTCATTCTCTCTTTTTAACTGCTGATTTTGTTCCAAATGCCAAACTGTGCAAGTACCATTATTTAACCAGTCTGTATTGATAAACACTTACATAGCTTCCAGTCTTTTCATATAATTGATAGTACTGCAGTGGATATCTTTGTACATACTTTTATGTGTATATATGTATGTATATTGTTGTATGAAAGAGTATATGCATCTCTAATCTGGTAAATATGACCAGATTTCCTCCAAAGTAGGTGAGTTAATTTGTGCTCCCATCAGTGTTGTAAGAGCGCCTGTTACCACCCCCTCCAAAAAAATTTTTTTTAATAATAATAATTTTAAAGCTTCCTTCCCCCATAAACAATACATTGAACAAAAATGATAATAATAATTTTTTGTTTAACTTTTTATTGAGATTTGAGTGCAAGTTTACAGAACAAGTTGCTTTTCCATTCAACAATTCATACACGTTTTGTTTCTTGACATTGATTGCAATCCCTACAGTGTGACAGCTCTCTTCCACTTCCTCCTTGTGTTTCCTGTTTCCATTCGTCCTTTTTTGCTGTCCCTTCCTGCCTTCTCGGCTTTATCCCTGGGTCACTGCTGCCCTTCTGATCTCATGTGGTTGGCTGTTCTAACGAGCACTTACCTCCCTGGTGTTACTTTTCACCTTAGAGGCATACTGTTGGGCTGAAAGTTGACCCAGAGGAGTGAGCCCTAGGCCTCAGGTGTGTCTAAGGACCTTAGTCTCTGTGAGACCCTTAAGCCTGGTCTTTTTTTTTTTTTCTTTTTTGATATTTTGAGTTTTGTTCCACGTTTCTCTCCGAGTCTGTCTGGTACTTCCTGCTGTGATCCATGTCAGCAGTGGTAGCCAGGCACCATCTAGTTCTTTTGATCTCAGGGTGGTGGTGGAGGCTAGGGTTCATGTTTGTGCATTAGTCCCTTCAATAAAATGATTTTTTGAAATCCAAAAAAATAAAAGGATGAAAGAGAGGGCTTATTGCTCCCTATGCTCAACAATAAAAAGTGTGTCCTTTTTTCTGTCTTTGTCAGTCTGACGAAAATGGTTTCATATTGCAGTTTTTATTTGTATTTTTCTAATTGTGAGTGAAGTTTTACTTTTTTTTCTCCCCACATATTTAAATATCAGTTGTGTTTCTTCTTTGTGAACTGCAAGCTCAGGTCCTTTGCTCACTTTTCAACTGTTATTTTCTTATGGAATCTTAGGAATATTTTATTTCAAGGAAATTAGTCTTTGGTGATAGGTGATACAAGTACAAGGGTTTTTTGTTGTTGTTGTTTTATAACCAGTTTGTCATTTTTCTTTTAATTTGGTTTATAAATTGCATGATTGTTATTTTATAATTGTGTCCATTAAGTGAATTTAAAATTGTTACTGGCATTGTTTCTTTTTACACAGGATTTCTTAATATTTGGGATCTACAGACTGGAAAGTATCCGATTCATCGTTTTGAGCATGATGCAAGAATACAGGCACTGGCCCTCAGCCGAGATGATGCGACTGTTGCCACGGCTTCGGCCTTTGATGTCATAATGTTGGGCCCCAATGAAGAAGGATATTGGCATATAGCTGCAGAATTTGAAGTTCAGAAATTGGTGAGCTCCTAGTCTGATATTTTATGTTGCATTCTGAGAATCTCTACGTCTAATGGAAATAAAAGGAGCTCTGGTAGCATAGTGGCTAAGGCACTTGACTGCTAACCAGAAGGCTGGCAGTTCAAACCCACCAGCCACTCCTCGGAAGGAAGGTTGGGCATTCCTACTTCCGTAGTGATACTGCCTCGGAAACCCAAGGAGGGGTCGCTATGAGTCGGGGCCGACTCGATGGCAAACAACAACAACAACAACAATGGAAATAAATAGTAATGATGTTAGCAGTTCCTGTTCGCTCCTGGCTTCCTGTGGGCTTTGTATCCATAAATCTCATAACCAAAAAATCCAAACCTGTTGTCCTTGAGTCCATTCCTACTCTTAGTGACCTATAGGAGAGAGTAGAACTGCCTCATAGGGTTTCCAAGGCTGTAATGTGTGGGAAAGCAGACTTCCACGTGTTTTTCCCATGTAACTGTTGATGGGTTTGAACTGCTGACCTTTACCAGCCAAACACTTAACCAGGGTGCCACCAAGGCTCCTTTAAGTCTTAACAAAAGCCCTGTGACAATGGCAGTTCTCGTTCTAGGTTGACCAAGAAGCAAATAGGCTCAAAGCTGTGAACTGACTTGCTAAGAAGTTGTAATTCAAACCTCAGGGCTGACTTCAGGCCTGCCTCTCATCACTATGGGCCTCGGTGGCTCAGGCTAACATGATGGCCATTCACCCCTGGAAATCTGAGCCCAGTTTCTAGCCAAATAGATAAGTGAAAATGAGTTCAGAGGTGTCATCCCAGCCCATATGGGAAGGAAGGTTTCCATCCTACACTTCTTCACCCCCAAGATTTTCTCACCTGGAATTAAGAGTAACTCTTGAGTTGAAAATGGTTTAAGTGAGTGTTAATTGGGTAGCTGTGTCCCAGGGTATGAGGTGTGAAGCTGAGCCAGCCTTAAGGACTCTATGAGTTCAGCTGGTGGTACCTGCCTTGTTAGGACGCAGAGCTCTCAACATGAGCTAGTATGAAAGAAAGTAGTTGAAGAAAGCTCTGATCTGTCAGTGCTGGGTTTGGATTTAGTTTGAATAAATTTGCTTTTGGCACCAAGAGGAGACTGAGCAGAAAAGTCAACATTGAAATAATGGATTGATGGCCTGACTTGAAACCAATCCCTATTATTCCTTTCCCTTTTCCTGGTGCAGATCTGGTAGACTTGGATAAAAAGCAAAAGCAGGAGCATCACTGCTTCACCTCCACCAGCAGCATGCCCCTTTAATGCCCAGGCCTCTGCAGTTAGGGTGTAGTGTCCCCCAGAGCTGCCTGATGGTGTCGTCTCATCCTGGGGTTTTATTAGAAAAATGGGAATGTGCAATGACTTCTGGTTGTCCTCAATACTACGCCAGTGCTTGTTACCAGGTCTCGGATTAAGAAACTCCGTAGACCAGCAACATTCTAGGAGCTCAGACAGCTCCTTCACGTTCCAGTCCCGCTCTGGCAGCACAGGGACTCCTGACACAGCTGAGCAGCTCTTGGAAGCCTTTTGCAGCTCCCAGCAAATGGCGCAGCCATTTTCAACCTGAGCCTCTTAGTCTGTCAGATTCCAACATGAGGATGAAGTCACGGCCTAGACTGAGGATGTCTCTATAGGAAAATAAAGCATGATTTTTAGAATAGGAGCAGAAGGGGAGCAAACAGTCATTGCAGGAGGGTGTTTGATAATGCTTTGTATGTATTCTTGTCCTGGGCAAGGGGGGGCCACAGAGCACTGAGTATCCCTGGAAAAGGCACCCCCTGGCCTGGAGAGCTGAGCCATTTTTGTTGTCTCCAGATACACTCCCTGAGTAGCTGTGGCAGTGGTCCCGGCTTTGTAATACTAGCCTAGAACATCCATCCTTTGTGACGGGTCCACAGTTTGGAACGCAGCCTGCCTGCCACTCACCCTTTTGGGACCAAGGATTAGCAGAGTCACCCAGATGTCTATACCCTGAGTTCTTCTGGATAGACTTCAGGATTCAGGCTTTTGAGCTCATTTGGCACATCGTCAGGGGAACGCTGGCCTTTCACTCTGTGGGTTTTCATAATTAAAGAGTGTGGCCCACCTTCAGCATTTGGACTCTCCTAATTTACTTATGGGGGATGTGAACTGCACTGGGGGATATGGGCCCCTTCTAGGTATATAAAAGCAAATTCCGGTTGAAGGGCACTCTTTGGACCAGGCCAATTAGAGAAGTGTAGAGATAACGCCTGTTTGAGTACCGTGGTGGAACAGAAACACCTTCCTACCCTTGGGTGGCCAAATGGACTCTCTGCAGTCACCGCATAGCTTTGAAGCCATGGGAGGGCAGGTAGCACAGATATATTTAGCCTGTAGCAAAACATTTTTGGGGTTATAAATACAGTTTTTGTTCATTTGTAGCCAAGTAAATTTTATTTTGTTATTTTTTTTATTTTATTCCTTTTTTTATTAAAAAAATTATGCTTAATTTCTTCAACAGTTACTACACTCCACTCTCTTGGTTCAGAAATTAAAAGACATAAGGTGTATAGTGAGAAATCTCCCTTCCGTTTCACCCTACAACTGGTCTCCCTCTGAAGGCAGCTGTTGTTAGCACATTGAGGCAGGTACAAGCCAAGTACAGTACATGAAACCTTCCTCTGCACTTTCTACACGCTGGTCAGCACTGAATCCTGGCCCTCACCTTGCTTCCCCCCGCCCCAAATTTATCCTTGAATTTATTTCATTTGCTTCCATTTATAAAGACTTTCTTCACGTGTTTTTCTTTGTGTGGCATTCCATGGTTTACACGTACTATATGTTTTTCAGTTAGTCCCTTAGTCCCTTCCCTCCTGGTGGAGGTGAAGCAGTGATGCTCCTGCTTTTGCTTTTTATCCAAGTCTACCAGATTTGCACCAGGAAAACTTGGATGTTTAGGTGTCCAATGTTCAGCTATGACAAAGTAATGCTGCAGTGAATGGCCTTGTATGCAGTCCTTTTGCGTGTGTGTGATTCTCTTTGTAAGTAGATTCCTGGAAGCAGACTTACTGGACCAGAGCACACATGCCTTTGACATTTTGGTAAGTGTTGCCAGGTGAACCTCTATAGAGGTTGAAACAATTTACATCCCATGAATGATAAGTTAGATCCACAAATGTGGCAGTGCCCCTCTACTTCCAGCCCAGTGTGCTATCAGATATCTTGAGCTTTCCCAGTTTGACAGGTGAAAATAGTATCTCAATGAATTTTTACTTGATATTTCTCTTACTAGGAGTGTTTGTTTCTCTTATGATGAGTATCTTTTCATTTACGTCAGAGCTGTTTGTGTTTTATGTTCTGTGCCCTGTCCCTTTGTGTCATTAATGTGTAGGAGCAATTGTATATTTTTGACCAAGTCAAGATGAATTTTTGATGAGACCTTAAGAATTAAACAACTCTCATCCTTTCACAGGTTGACTACCTTGAAATAGTTCCAGATACCGAAAGGTACCCTGTGGCAATAGCCACTGCTGGAGATCTGGTCTACCTGCTAAAAGCTGAAGACTCTGCCAGAACCCTGCATTATGTCTACGGCCAGCCTGTCACATGTCTTGATGTCTCAGCCACCCAAGTTGCTTTTGGCGTGAAGAGTTTGGGATGGGTGTACGAAGGAAACAAGGTATAAAAGCTAGCAAGATTCACGTTTAACAAGAACCTAGAGGTTTTTTTAGAAGGCTTAAAAACTTAAAGCTCTCTGATGTTCTCTGGGTACACTAAGGCAGTACATCAGAATGGTAAAAAGTTCAGGCATTTCGAAAGGATGTAAAAATGAAAGGTAATTGTTTCTCTTCTTCCTTCCCCTAGCCCTGTGCCACAAAAGAGGCTATTAATGTTTTTCACATATCCTTCCAGAAAAACCTAATGCATATGGGATCATAGGATGCACGCTGTTCTGCGCCTGACCTTTTACTCAATAGTATACCTTGGAGAGCATTCCCTATCAGTGTACACCAGGCTCCTACTCCACAGGATTCCAGTATATGCTTATAACCCATAGTGATTGTTCATTTTCAGCCAGTCCTCTCACGGGTGGACATTTAGGCTACTTCTACTGTTTGGGCTATTACAGACAGTGCCACAGGAAATATTACAACTTGCAAAAGTCCTTGTGTAAGAAAACCTCCAACGTAATAAATCCTTAGAATTACTGATATTCTAATCAGTATCAGTAGGTGAGAGTAGCAAGAAGCACACAATGGTAGTAAACTCTCTTGTGCCAGGCACTTGTGCTTGGTCGGAGGGTATGTGCTAAAGGGGCAAGGAGGCGTCAAATTCTGACCTCCTTTCACCCCATAAGAGTAAGACAGAATCACCATCAGTTGCCCAAGGCCTATTCCTGCGAGGCCAGACATGCTTCCTCCCTCCAGCCCTTTTACCAACCCCAACACCAACTTTTCCTCCTGCAGCACTCACCACCTTTCTGCTGGGTTCTATAATTCACTGCAGTGGCCACACAGAACTCACAGATTATAGGGTTTATTAGGGAAGCACCAGGCTACAATTCAAGTTCAGGAAAAATGCTCGGTGTCTCTCTCAGCAATGCATGTCATTCTCAGCAGCATGTGTCTCTCAGGAGCACGTTTCTCTCAGCAGCAAGTCTTTCTCAGCCAGCTGTCAGAGAGACCTCTTCTGCCTCTAGGATGCCTCCTTTTGAGCCTGGCAGAGTGACCAAACTAACCACTCATAACATCAGAATTCTAAGCACCTGAGAGAGAGCAAACTTCCCAGAACATTGCTTTGTACCACTGCTCAAAAGAGATATCCCAGGTGGATAACTTTTACAACCAGGAGCTCCTTAGTTGCTCACAGCAAATTCCACCATGGAGTTTACAAAGACTTATGTCTAGGAGCTCTGGTAGCATAGTGGCTAAAGCACTCGACTGCTAACCAGAAGGCTGGCGGTTCAAACCCACCAGTCACTCCTCGGAAGGAAGGTTGGGCAATCCTACTTCCGTAGTGATACTGCCTCAGAAACCAAGGAGGGGTCGCTATGAGTCGGGGCCGACTCAACGGCACATAACAACAACAACAACATGTCTAGAAAAGCCATACCAAGTAATTTACTTCACTGCAGTATGTGATTGAAGATGTTGATGGACATTGCCAAATTGTTCTCCAAAAAGGCTGCATTAAAGTTTATATTCTCACCAACGGTGCATAAAAAGGTCTTTTGATAGTCTTTGAGCTGGAAGCAGGGAGGCAAGTTTTAACTGAAGTTCCTTGAATAATGTCTGTATTTTATCACTACTTAGCATTTTACTATCCTGACTACAGTCCAAGTACTTAGCCTTAAACCTCATTTATAGAATTTCTTTTTCCCTTTCAATAGGCTCAGGGGGGAGAAGGATGAGGGTTCTATGTTTTGTTTCTTCTCCAGTGTGCCTGCTTCTGACTCTGCTGGCAGTTTCCTCTCATGACATCTCCACATGGCAGTAAAGTGAACTGGTGAGGAACCAGGCTCTGACCACACACTGCCTGCATTTGAATTCCACCCTACTAGGTATGCGGCCTTAAGCAAGTTACTTAAACCTGTCTAGGCCTCAGTTTCCCCATTTGTAAAATGGGGATCATAATAGTTCCTGTTTCATAGAGTTGCAGGATTAAATGAAGAAACCATATGTAAGACTTTAAACATAGTGCCTGGCACAAGAGAGTTTACTACCATTGTGTGCTTCTTGCTACTCTCACCTACATGTAGTTCAACTCTGACCTCTGGTCTGATTCTAATGTCTTATTTCCCTTATATAAAGTCACCTGTATGGTCAAATCTCATTTATGTAGGTGCCACTGGTTTTGCATCCTAGTAAATACTCAAAGAATCGAAGCATCTTGGATTCTAGTTAAGGAGCTCTGGTGGTGCAGTGCCTGAGGCTTTTGACTGCTAACCAGAAGGTTGGTTGTTCAACACCAGCCACTGTGTGGAGGGAAGATGGGGTGATCTACTTCCATAAAGGTTTACCACCTTGGAAATGCAGTGGGGGTCACTATGACTTGGAATTGACTCGATGGCAGGGGGTTTGGATTTTGGTGTGGTGGTGTAGTGGTTAATGCGTTCAGCTGCTAACCAAAAGATTGGCAATTTCCAACCCACCAGCCGCTCCATGGGAGAATGATGAGGCAGTCTGCTTCCGTAAGTAAAGGTTTTTGGCCTTGGAAACCCTATGGGGCAATTCTCCCTGTCCTCTAGGGTCACTGTGAGTCAGAATAGACTTTTAGCAGTTGGTTTGGTTGGCAAGTCCCATTTCTCTTTATCTGAAAGGATTTATTGCTGCAGTGATATAAGCATAGTAGATGTATTTGAGAAATCAGTTAAAAGTTTTGTACAAAATTAGGGCGAAGGGGGTTCTTTAGATATAGGTATAGGCTTAGTGTTTTTGTGGATGCCTCTTATAATTTCCAGCCCAATTAGAAGCATTAATTATAAGAATGATTAATCCATGAATTTTATTAAAATTTATTTTTAAAAAATTCAGTTACTTTTGGCATTTTTCACTGGTGTTTTAAAATTAAGAATAGAAATAAATTCACTATAAAAGTATGTCTGAATATCCCATTGAAAGCTAACAGTAGCATTTAGTCATCCAAATATACTTGTGGGTGCAACGCCAAACCTCCAAACACTTGGGTGGGTGGGTGGTGGGTGGCTGTTTGCTGTTGGTAATAACTGGTAATAAGTTTCGGTTGAGATGTTTCTCCAACACAAATGCCACCCACTCAGACCTAAGAAATGCCAAACTTCATCTGTGTCACTTTCTCTATTTTTGCAAGGCAGAACTTTTCCATCTGATTACGTTTCATGGATTATTTTAACTTCCCCAGAAAAACCTGCATTTTTTGGAATGCAGTTTTTTTTTTTTAATTGTGATTTGGGTGAAAGTTTACAAAGCAAATTCACTTTCTATACAGCAGTTCACATACATTTTGTCTCATGACATTGACTATGATTTACCCCAATGCAACAGCTCCCCTCCTACTTCCTCTCGATAGTTACCTCTTCCCTGTGTCCATCCCTCCATGCACTCCTGCCCCCTGAACTGTCTCCCTGTGTATAAACAGGCCTTCTTTCCCTCATGATTGTTCTCTCCAAGGAGTATATCTACTTCAGGTACATGTTCAACTCATACACCTATCTTTTGTTCAATTCCAGACCTGCAGGGCAGCTAGGGTCCATAGTCTCAGTGGTTCCACCAGGCTCTTTCAGACCAGCTAACCTGGTTCCCTGCCCCCCGCCCTTTTTTTTCCCCCAAAATGATTTTGAATTTTGTTTCCAAAACCTGCATTTCTCAGAAATGGAATTGTGTGTATCTTTTCTGTGAGTTAAGCCCTGTCCTGGCGGCTCTGGGCCATTTTCGTATTGACCTGCTGTGCCGTGATGAGATGTCATAATTCCTGACCAGCCTCCTGCGCAGGGCACTGTGGTGCTGTGCTGGTGAGGACAGCGTCTTGGCTGTGTCCGTGCCTTGCCTGGCATAGTTGCCCCAGCACATGTGATGAGGTTAGCGTGAGACCATTAGCAGTGGAGTTTGCTTGGAACTATATGCGCACCGGGGTTTGTGTCACTGCTTCTGGCCTTTATCTCCAGGATTCAGATGAAGGCTGTAGGAGAACAGAGATTTGGTTTATCTTCATTTGTACCTGAATCAGAACTGGGGTTTAATGATAGTCATTATTGATTAACTGTGATAAAAACAGGCGGTAAAGTCCAAAACGTGGAAATCTCATTTGCGTCAGGAACTGACATCTCTCCCCTGCAGAACTGTGACTGAGGTGTTGTTTTTGTTTAGTCGGAGCGTGTCTTTGTGCACAATGGCCACAGTGGTGTTTTTCAGGCACCACGGCTGTATGAGCATTGAGTAATCATGGTTCAGATTCATCCGTTCGTTTATCTGGCTAGCCAACCCTTCACGTGCTCATCACCAAATGGTTCATCACCAAATGGTTCCCAAGCCCCAGTTGTGTTCCTGGCATTGGAGTGTTAAAGCAGCTTTACGCACAGATTTCTACCCATGGGGACTTGTTAAGTGACCTAACTCTGTTTACAAACATGGTTTTCTAAGGAAATGAAACCAAGTAATTTAAGGAAAGCATATTATGTAATCTTTTCAAAAGGCTAGCGAATGCAGCTGGCTGGTCTGTCATCTGCTCAGATAGGAAGGGACCAGGAAGAGAGGTTGTGCTCTGGCCGGCCTGGGGTTGCCTTGGATTGCAGAGGCCAGAGGCCAGCCCATACTTCGGTTTGCCAGGACTTTCTCTGACAAGGACAGTCATAGAAAAAGCGGCTATTACCTATTTTCACAAAAGATCAGCTCTCTAAACATGTTTTTTATTTTTGTAAAAATAAAGGGGAAAAGGAAAATGTTTTTTGACTGGGTCATATGTTCACCTGCTTCAGAAATGAAAAGATCACACAGGGTGTACTGTGGAGAGTCTGTCTGCTCCTTTCACTCTGCCGCCCAGTTTCTCTCCCAGGAGCCAAACCAGTGTGGTCAGGTTCTTAAGCACCCTTCCCGAGCTGTGTGATACACATGTAAGCACATCACTGCAAGAGCCGTGGGGGTTCAGCGCTGCAGCTGCTAACCCAAAGGTCGGCAGTTGAGACCCATCAGACAGCCCTCTCAA